ATACATACCAGCGACGGCATTGGGTGCTGCTCTGGCCTCCTCTGCAGTCCACCCGAAAGCTGGACCCCTGGCCTTCGGGGCCTCAACCTTTCACTGACACCCATCAGTGATGAGCAAGGTTGCAAGAGAAGGAGTTTGAACCGACTTTGCCGCGAGAAGTGGACACTCGACCTTCACATGGCCCGCCTGGTTGCAGCTGAAACAAACTCGTAACCCCTTTGGACACTCCTTCGCGAAGTGCCCCTCCTTGCCACACAGGTAGCATACCGTCCCCGATCGACAGGGACCCTCATGACTCTTACCACACTTGTTGCAAGTGCAGCTTCTCTGACCTCCAGACCTAGAATCATCGGGCTTTACCCGCTTAGCCACCGGCTATGACTGAACTGGCCTCCTCTTCGTATTGTTGAATTCCCAATTATGCATCGATACACCCCCACTGTGTGGTCTCGTGGCGGAAATAGATGTGGTGGTTGTGGTAGCAGCAACCACGGTGACAACGACATAGCTCCCATCGAACAACTCGATCATTGAGGTCTTAATAGACCCAAAAACTTCCGGGATGGCCTCTCGAAGCATCGTGGCCACCTCTGCGGCAATGATCCTATGGATCTCATCATCACTGACACCATGTCTCCCTGAACCTCTAGAGCCTAAACCTCGAGTGAACACCATACTAAAATACACAAGAAAAAGGACAAAACCTGATACAACAGATACAGACAATATAAACATCACACGAAATCTCCCTAGTACACTCGGGAGGCCATCCCAAAGTTATCATCACGCCCTATGGATTTACAGCGCGTTTCAAGAGTTATCAGCAACCCTAGGGATTCTCAGCAATCCCAAAGTTATCAGCAGCTTAACTCAGATAAAACAATAATCAGCAAATAAGACCCATCTGGCCATACACGTAAATACCACACACGTAAGAGTAGTAAGAATACTCACCTCGCAGATAGCAGCTAAAATACGACAACTCTCACACACAAGGTATATAGGATTAGAGAGGCACCCAACAACAGTAAAGTCATACCCTATCAGCCTACACCCTTAAAACTCTAGTTTTCCCCAAAAGTAAACCTTAGTAAAAAAATCAACCATGGCCAACTCCAGCTTGCGGTCACGTTGTGACCACCCATTTGTCACGTCGTGAATGGAAGAAGACAAAATAGTTGTGACCAACTAATCTCACGACATGACAGGCTAATGCTCACGTCGTGAGAACTACTCTGGATAAATTTGAGCATTTAGCTCTTAATCCTATAAGCCACTCTTTGATACTTTCCATATGGTCTTCCCCAACCCTAAAGACCAAAAAAAATCATGGCTTTTCAGTCATGCATGTCCAATGCGTGACTTAAACACTAGCTAGGTCATTAAGAAGAAAAATGGGATCAAGACTCATGCTTCGAGTCTAAACCAACACCAAATCTTAGATCTAAAGTATATTCTAGAGAAAATGACTCAATGATCCACAAAGTTGCTAACTTTATGGATCCTATGCATGCTATCACACCCAAACATGAAAAGAAAGACATAAATCTAAGATCTAGCATGCATAATAAATAAAGGCAATAGCTTTAGGACTTACAAAGGTCCAAAAGCACTAAAGAATGAAGAGCTAGAAGCTTGATGGCCAAAAGGATGCACCCAAGGAGTCTTCTTCTCCTTCTAAGAGCCAAAAATCTCGAAAAGAGCTCTTAAGATCAACAATGGAGGCTAAAAACGTTTTGGGAAGGAAGGAGGTGATGGAGGCTGAAGTTGTGCAAACCCTAGCCTCCCACTTCACTTAAATATAAGCAAAACATGGGATTAGGGTTTTTCCTGAACTCACGTTGTGAGGCTCTAACCCTCACGTCGTGAACCTTAAGATGGTCATGTGTCACATACTGAAGTCACGTTGTGAGATCCTACCTCTCACTTCGTGACCTTCAAATTTAGGGTTTTCATTCACATTTAGGTAAAAGCAAATTAAGGATCGAGTACCTACATTAGATGTTACAAGATCCTTCGATGTTAAGGCAACGAGGTCTTATGTGTTACCAAAGTCTCTATTCTGCATCTTATTCTTTCTTTGCAACTTTAGCTATAGTGAGTAGTTAACTTTCCATCTCGTTATCTAAACTCTATTAACCTGAATTATGTTTGTAAACTATTTATACTTGATATTGCAAGTATCAATTAAACGATAAGGTAAAAAAAAACTCTTTAATTATAGTGGTTAATTAGTTTAATATTAAAATCATAAGTATACATAACTAATCATAAATATGCATAAGTTAGAAAACTATTGAGTTGTAGTGAGTAATTAACTTTTAGTTAGAAATACTTTTGAGTTGTAGGTTTAAAATAAACATGGTGTAGAAAAAAAAATAACATATATTATAGTATAATTAGGCATATCCGCGCGTTACGAGGGAGTAAAAATTATGTCATAAAAATATTAAAAAATAATATATAAACATAAAAATGTAAATGTAAATAAATTATACAAAAAACTAAATATAAATTGGTTATCACAATAGATATCATGTATCAATAATAAATTTCTATCAAAACTCGAACAAAATAATATAATATACTTTTGGATTCAATTATATATACATGGCCCAACATTAAAAGTATAAATAAACATAATACATGATATATCTCAAACTTGATATACAAAAGAAAATAAAACATACTAACAATAAATTGTCTATGTGAACCATGTTGTCGTAGATCCATTTCCATACGAGAACTACTTACTGCAGGGCAAGCACCAACGAATTACTCACTTCATTCACAGCGCAGGGGAGAGACAGAGAGGGGTCAGTAATAACTCACAACTAGGGTAAAAAGTTCCTACTTCCTTACTCACTTAAGTCATTGCTTTGACCGAACCATAGGCCGAAAAGAAAAGATTTTTTAGATACTTGTTACAGGCTTGACCAAGGGTGCAAAAGAGCTTTATTTAGAAATAGAGTAAGGGCACGCCATTTGCAATGCCTTTTCTTGCTTTCGACAGGACCCCCTTCCGATAGGAGAAAAAAGATTACGCCAATGCAAATTGCCAATGATATAGATTTTCTAGCGATTACGACTATCGAGGGCAGGAGATGAATTAAAGAATCGTATTGCAGCTGCTGAAGAGAGATCAGGGCTAGTACTAGAGGAAGCGATAGTGGACAAAAGAGCTCAGAGAGCAGTGCATCGAAGCGGGAAGATCTGTGATCTATTTGAAAGTGCATATCACAAAGACCAGTATATTGCACATACTGATTGATTGATTGCATAGATTGAGTCTAAGTTAGAGAGTTATGATATATCTATAGTACCCCCGCCGATGAGACTTTCCAGCGCGAGGCTAGAAGCTACCAACACTTTAATACAAACAAAAACAGAAATCGGAATTCGTGGGGCCCGAGGCCTTACAGAAACAGATCGATGAACGACTAAGCGAGACTTTGCCTTAGAGACCAATAAAATGAGACCAAGAAGCTTTATTACACAAAAGTTCTTTGAATACCTTTAGCTTCTTCTTCCTTGCTTACTATTGCTATCACCTCAACAACTTTGACCTGCTCACTTAGAATGAAGATCAATAATGGGTGGAAAGGAGTTCACATAAGACCACAGAGCTAGTAGGTTTTGGGGCGAGCTGTGGGCTCCTATCACGAGAGAGAGAGAGCCTTCGCTTACCTGTTTAACCGTGCCCTCCTATCACGGGATTGAATGGCCTGGAAAGCTAGTATGGTTTGGGGCGAGTTGTGGGTTACATTAGATATGGGTTGAAATGGCGAGAGTGACAGGAAGAAGCAGACCCATCGAGAATCGTGGAATGACCATGTACTCCTTCCCTTACGGGGCTCATGGAGTAGCGTATTTGGAAAGAGGAAGATGGGGGATGAGAAGCCATAGCAAGATTATATGCATTTCGGGCCTCAGTTTCTGCATCATGATCCACCTAATATAGGTAGTGTGACTGGCATATGGATTTTTAGAATTGTTGGAAAGGGACTAATGTTAATTTATGAAGTCGAATATTGGATAACTGAAGTGAGGAGGATTGTAGAGTGACAAAGGAGCTACTTGGGATTGGAGGAATGCCGAACGCATTGCAGACATGCCTTTGGATATGGTTTTCGCTGATTGGATTAGTATGACCATCATCTTCTCTAACCTAGTCAAATAAAGACTGAAATTCATCTCCATAGCCCTTTTTCTTTAGAAGTATAGGCCGGCTGGTCGGGGTTGTCCCCCCCCCCCCCCACTACCACAAAGATCACTGTCCAGCCACCGCTCGAGGGTACCTCCGCTCCCCAACTGAGCAAAATGGATCAAATTCGCGGGAAAGGAGAGATGAAAAAAGGCAAGGTTTTGCTGAGACTCAAGTTCCCCTGCCGGAGCTCCCCAAACCTGAAGTAGAAGTCGAGGGGTTGCTTAGTGAGAAGAGTTCTTGAATGGATTAGGTCTTGTTGGAAAGGTTATGTGTTTAGTCCCTGGGGGCGACCTAGTTACTTGTATTGGGGCTTTCATATCTGTGGACAATAATGGCTTTATTCAGATTATTGAAACCGGTTCTTTGGAATAGTTGTTTTTTATAAGGGCTTAGTTACATTTTTTGTTCAAATTTGCATATCTTTATACCTAGTTTTCGACCCAAGACCTTACCTTAATCACCGAAAAACCCCTTTTTTATTTCAAGCTCAGTGGTAGAGCGTTCGGCTGGTAACTGACTAGTCGAGCGTAGGTTCGAATCCTACTTGAAAAGCTTCCTTAGACTTTTTTTGACTCTCTGCTTACTCCAGCCGTAAGTAAACTCGTAGAATGGGATGTCATCCACTGACTCCTAATTGCGAGAAGAGAATTTCTCTCCTAAGCCATCGAAAAAGAGGAGGCCTAGCTATGATATGAAAAGGCTCCACGGATGATTGGGGCTTAGGGCAAAAGAAAAGGAAGATCGTCTTGACTCTCTTAACTATGGTAAAATAGTTAGAATGTAAACAAAACACATGCTTCACTCTCGCTTTCAGTATTTTGATAAGTGGGGATCCGCCGAGTTGATTGAGTTGTCCTCTCAAAAGAAGAGATTGGATAGAGATCTCAATTATGACGCATGGCTAAGCGATCCGACTCACATTAGGCCTAGTGCCCAAGTGGTTTGGCCGATAGTAGGACAAGAAATATTGAATGGTGATCTGGGCGGGGGCTTCCGAGGAATACACATAACCTCTGGTTTTTTTCAGATTTGGCGAGCATCTGGAATAACTAGCGAATTACAACTCTATTGTACCGTAATTGGTGGATTGGTCTTTGCGGCGTTAATTCTTTTTGCTAGTTTGTTTCATTATCATAAAGCTGCTCCAAAACTGGCTTGGTTTCAAGATGTAGAATCTATGTTGAATGACCATTTAGCGGGGCTACTAGGACTTGGGTCTCTCTCTCTCTCTTGGGTGGGGCATCAAGTACATGTATCTTTACCGGTTAACCAATTTCTAAACGTTGGAGTAGATCCGAAAGAAATACCATTTCCTCATGAATTTATCTTGAATCGAGATCTTTTGGTTCAACTTTATCCTAGTTTTGCCGAGGGAGCAACCCCATTTTTCACCTTGAATTGGTCAAAATATGCGGACAATCTTACTTTTCGTGGAGGATTAGACCCAGTAACTGGAGGTCTATGGCTAACTGATACGGTACACCATCATTTAGCTATTGCAATTTTTTTTCTGATAGCGGGTCACATGTATAGGACTAACCGGGGCATTGGTCATGGTCTAAAAGATATTTTAGAAGCTCATAAAGGTCCATTTACGGGCCAGGGCCATAAAGGCCTATATGAGATCCTAACAACGTCGGTAAACGGTTCCGCTATAAATGGATTCTTAACAGGGGGTGGTGTTATCCAGAATTGCCAAAGTCAGGCTATTTTTTCGGGTAAGAACATGCAAGCAGAAGCTCGGGCGTTAATCATTGGCTTGGATCTTGCCTCCCAATTAGGCATACCCCTCTCATGTATGGAACTTGACACTCAAGTCTTGTCGCATTTCATTCATACAGGGAACTCCCCTTGGAACTTGGTATCTTTGACGCGATCATGCAAGTCTCTCTTATCTCCTTCTTGGTGTGAATTCCTATTGTATTCGAGGAGTCAAGGATTTGTTGGGAATTCCGGATCGAAGAAAAGGGATATCAAAATATGGTGCAGAAAAACCAAAATATAGATGAATGGAAGATGCCTCTAGAACTCTTTTTTCTCCAATTTAAAGTACGAAGTTACTGGCTCTAAGAAGGCAATTGCACCTTAGCGTATGGACTGATACGTAGACTACTCTACAGGGGAAATCTCTTACTCGACTAGAGCGGATCCCGAGACTTCACCCGTTCCTTTAAACTGTTTGGCACTACATTCTATAACTAGAATCACAGGGTCGGTCAACTAGGAACAACCTAGCAGAGTGTCCTGAGATTATCTATGTGAACCATGTTGTCGTAGATCCATTTCCGTACGATCCGTAGGTGTAAAAAGTAAAATGGATTAGAATTTGTAATGTTTGTTTTGCTTTTTTTTTTTTTAATTTTAAATCCAATATAATCCTAAATAAAAACTATAATTATAAACAGATAAACTGATAAATAATAAATATAATGAATGGTTTTTATTATAATGTGCAATTATATATATATATATATATATATATATATATATATATATATATATATATATATATATATATAAAAGATAGAGGAAAACGATTATCTACTCTTTTTTTTCAACAAAATAAAAATAAGAAAATCAATTTGCATAATGTAAATTACACAAATTAAATATTACTATTACTTTTAAATTTCATCGGTTAAAAGTTCTCAGTTTATATATCAAATATTTTGTATTATTTTAAATATATATATTATTAAATGATAAACAAGTTTCATTTTTGTTAAACCTTAGTATCTAATTTTCTACATGTTCTACCACCAAATTTTCAATTCCGTTGTATATAATGCGAAAAGTATAAATTGTTAAATGTTTAACTACTAACTACTAAATTGGACAATAATATCACAACTTTTATATAAATTTTCTTATTAGAGAATGTTAATTCTAGAAAGACTCTACAAACCAAACAACCACTAAATTATAAAGCCACATAAAATAATTTTTTTTCTAGAAGTAAAGATATAAAAACATTATATATGATGTATATAGTGTTAAATCTAACCTAATAAATAAAATTATAAATGTTATGATTCATTGAATTTTACACATGTCATTTTATAATATTTTTTGAATTATTTTTTTTATTTGTCATTTTCTTGTGTTTTTTATTTTCTTAAATTTAAAATCCACATTTTACTAAGGATTTATATATAAAAGTTAAATCATTCTATTAAATTTTAGAATAACTGTTTTATAGTTGTTTTCTTTCTTTCTATTTCAAATCTCCTACAACTAAAGCTTAAATCACTGATATCACGCATAACAATTTATATCAAATCGTACACGGGTCTCATACCTAGTTAACTATAAACTCTTGAATCATTAACAATCGTTAATTTTGATGATGTTCATTCTAAAAAAAACATAAATTTTAATGAATAATTATTGAAATCAAATGTATTATATATTGTTTTACTAAATCAAATCCATATATATCTACATCATGATGTAAATTGCTTTTTTTTTTAAAGAATAATATCAAATGTAACTTACATTTTTTTTTTTTGGAGGGGGGGGGGGGGGGGGGGGGGGGGGGGGGATATAAAGAAATATAATGTAAAATGTGTTGGTAAGAAAATAGGATATAACTAAACATGCAAGCGTGTCTTTTGCTTGTGATAATTTGCTTTAACTTTCATATCTTGCTCTTTTTAGTTTGGTGTAAATAAACGTAGAACTTCAAAGTAAAGATTTGTGTGTTCTCAAATCTTCTTTTCTTTCCTTTTATGTTCTAAACTCTAGTAACATAATGTACTTTTATATATATATATATATATATATATATATATATATATATATATATATATATATATATATATATATATATATATATACCACTTAGACGTTATAAGGACCAATTAAATATCATAAGTTATAAACGTTTGAGTTGTAGTAGCTAGTTAGATGAAAATTTAAGAGTTATAGTATTAAAGTAGATTAATGTTATGGTTAATTAGTGAGAAAATAAAGAGGTGAGAGTTTCGAATGAATATGATTCAAGATAGATGACTTATTTTAAATCATATTGATTTGGATGACCTCAATTATAAGATAGTGTGTGTGTGTATATATATATATATATATATATATATATATATATATATATATATATATATATATATATATATATATATATATATATATGTGTGTGTGTGTGGATCTTCCCTAGATATTATCTAAAGTTGGGATTTTCCCCAGATATAATCTAAGTTGAGATCTTCCCCAGTATAATCTAAGTTGGGATCTTCCCCAGTATTTTCACCAATATTTCTTAAGTTGGGATTTTTCCCAGTAAAACTCCAAGTTGGGATCTTCCCCAGTGAATTACTATATGGGATATTTTCTAATATTACGTGAGTTGGGACTTTTCCCAGTAAATTCCAAAGTTGGGATCATCTCCTAAAACATATTTGGAAGAACTCTTTTCAAGATGATAAAACCTATCAAAAGTAATGTTCAGAGAGAGGACCAAAAGATCAATTGGAGTTTAATATGACATCATGTTTTATTTATCGTTACACCTAAAATTGTCATTTATAGTTCTTTTTCTTTAAAAACATTTTGCAACAACTTTCAAGATTTTTTAAATAAAATTTGAGGATTCTGGATCCCATTCAGATGGTTATTTATTTTAGATTATTAAGATCCGAATAGTTTGTATAAACTCTAAACTTTTTAGGATCTTAATAATCCGAAAAGCTTTTGAAAAAAAACATTATCTTATTTCTACAACCAAAATAACCACGCAAGAAAAGAGAAAAACTAATGAATCAAATCTAAAATGGGTTTTCCTCTAACCCAACAAAAGAAAATATTGTTTTACATACTAAAAAATTAAAATTGTTTTAAAAATTAATCAAACATAATTTAAGGTTTGATCACCCCCAGTCGGGGTATCCTTAGTCTCCTTTTCTCTTCCTCCTCTCTTTCTTCTTCTATGTAGGATCCTGAATGTCATTAACATGCCTTCCAGTCCATTTGGCTAGAGCTTCACGCCAACCAGCCAAATTCCAAGATCCTACATTCACCACATCATTCACCAACTTAATCTTCGTCTCCCAGATGGCTTCGGCGGCACTGCTATTAACTTCAACAATCACATCCTTGATCTACAAGGCGTGCTCCAGGAGGATGTCTTCTCCTTCCTGACCGCGAGCTGACCGCTAGACATGGCTCATCAAGTTCTGAGAAGGAGAAGCGAGCATTGGAATGTATAGCCTTGGATCCTGAAAATTGCGAAGAATCCTCATCAGTTCAAATCCCCAAAATGAAACAAGTAAAAAGAAGGATCCTTACTGGTAGACATCAAAGCAGACATGGAAGAACCTTCTTGGAAGTTGGAATGGTCAAGCTTGAAAGATCTTTTAGCCTCAGGAAAAGCGAGAAAGCTTTCAACCTTCTCCTCAGTATGTTCAGCAGTTGGAACAACTTCCTCGAACTTGAAAGTCGCGTAAAAAACAAACAAAATAAGGAAGCGTGTATTTAAGGATCCTTATCATAATTATATAAAATCCTACCCTTTCTAACCCAGTTTGTTGGCATGAGATCGCCGTTGGGAATAGAGTTGTTTCACAAAGAAAAAACCTTTCATTCCAGGCACCATCTTTTTGTTTCAATTTCAAAATTAAATGTGATTTGTTGGTTTTGACTTTGAGAAGGATATAAGAAGATCCAAAAGTTTGAAGACCGTAAACATTTTCCAATTCAGCTAACCCCATGTCAATGTTTTTAGACTGATTCATCCGATCGATCCAAAAAAGGGATCCTCCATATCACAAGCATAGTCTCAAAATAATAAATTTTTGTAACTTCGAAGAACTCAAATATGATGCCAGAAAAAAGGATATGTTGAGCCTAAGGAGAAAGGATATTCAGGAAAACAAACCCAAGTAGGAAAGACGAAACTAAGTTTGGCCTTAGGATTAAAAGGCTTGAAAATGATGTCGGCAGGAAAAGCTCTGATCGATTTCATGGACTCAGTGTCGTTATCATCAAAAGAGCAAGTCTCTTAGTAAGACAGGATCTTTTGATTGACGAAGTCCTCGTTGGAAATAGTAAGGATGCTCGAGCAAGAACGGAGTGCCTTTTTACTCATGATCATTAAACAAGAAAAGTGAGAAGAAAGAGGGGAGAGAGTTGCTTTGACAGTGCCATCATGAGCATCAAACGGATAAAATTCTATCTGTTAGGGTTTGAATTTCAAAAACCTTATCTCTGTATAAATTACACCTTTAAGTATTCAAAATTAACTTAAATACTATGCAGGTATAATTTGGGGGCAATTGTTAGGCCCAAGATCCTCAATCCTATCCAGGATCCCGGATCTCTAAATTATCTAAGGCTCCTTAAAACTATCTAGGATCCCGGATGTTAAAGGAGTCTCAGGATCCCAAACATACATCGGGATCATGAACACCGCCATTATTATTTCCTAACAAGTTTAATGGTTATATTTCTTGTTTATTTCTTACATGTGCAGAAATGGTCAACATAAGACTCATTCTCAATGAAGAAACGTTCCAATAAGGCTTGAGACCCAAAAATACTAAGTAAAAGCACGTGCAAACACCAGTTCGACAGGATCCCGAAAATCTTGGATTTATAGTTATTTAACCTAGACTATAAATACACTCGTAAAATTCACTCAATGGGTACAATAAGTTGTCACCTTACTCATCTAGACTCACTTTATCGTTTGTAATCGTATTATCAAGCTCATCTCTGTAATCTATGTGCAAATCAATAAGATAATACAAGGAAGATGATCATTATTACCTCCCAAGGTTTTATGTCGGAGACCCTAGCAAGGATCAATGGTGTTCCTTGTAAACCACATGTGTTATTTTGATCTCAATTCCATATTCACATTAATAACAAGACCACAACCTCTCATGCAATTTGGTTGATATCCTTCTGATCGATTTTTGACCAAAACAGTAAGTCCCCAAGATTCAACCTTTACGTTATTTATCCTTAGATCTAGTTCTTTTCTCCTTAAATCTTATTCGTATGAGAATTTGGACGGGTGAACCTCATAAAGTTGGCAACTTTATGGACTTAGGGGATCATTATAGTGTCATGTGTTCCAGATCTGAGAATCTATGGAGTTTTTGATCTTGTATTCAAGCTAAAATCCTTGTAGTCATATTTTGACCTAAAATGGAAAGGACATGCATGTCCATAAAGCCACATTTTTTATGGTTTATTAGGAGTATGAAGTCATTCTGGAAACTTTGGAGGTGCAAGTCTAAGGATTGGGTGCTTAATGAGAGTCTTGATACATTAAGTTATCCTTAGG